CTGGAGCCAGTGACCGAACAGCCGGGTGGGCAGGTGCCCCCTACCCGGAAATGTGAAATCATGTATATATATATATATATATATATATATATATATATATATATAGCAAATGGATCCTTTAACCACTTGCCACCCGCCTGCTGTTTATAAACGGCACGACGGTGGCACTCCAGGGGCAGGTTGCCATTCATAAACGGCAACCGCCACTTCTAGCTGTGCGCGATCCGGTGCCCGCTGTGTCCTGTGGACACAGTGAAACACCAATCGTCGGACGGCAGAGGTCCCGATCATGTGATCACTGATAGGCCAATCAGTGATCACATGCAAAGTAGTAAGCAAGATGTCACTTGTGACATCATTGCTTACTACGTGTGAAATCTGTGAATGATCACAGAGGTCACATGGTACAAGGCTATTCACAACAGCCTTGTACCATGTGACAAGCTGTGACCAATCACAGCTCACTCAGTAGTTCTCAATGGCTGCAAGAATGCAGACAGAGAGAAAGAGAAATGATTGCTTTTACATCCTATATGGGTGTAAAAGCAATCACTGTAAAAAAAAAAAAAAAAAAAAAAAATCTTCATCACCCCCCACAAGTAGTACATTGTCACCATGGTGACACTGTACTGCTAGGGTGACAGTATGTGAAAAAAAAACAAATAAAAATATAAAAAAATAAAAATGTAAAAGAAATATTTAAAAATGATAATTTGTGGTTATAAACTAATTTAGCTTATTTTTTTTTTTTTACTAAAAAGATAACGGAATACATTTTGGTCAAGATTTATGATGAAATATTATTTATTTGCAAAATTTTATAAGAAAAACACTTTTTTTCAAAATTTTTGGACGTTTCATTTACATAGCAAAAAAAATAAAAATCCCAGCGCTGAATAAATACCACCAAAATAAAGCTTTATCTGTCTCAAAAAAATCGTAAAAAATTCATGAGGGTACAGTATTGCATGACTGCGCAATTGTCATTCAGAATGTGATAGCACTGAAAGCTGAAAATTGCCCTGGACGGGAAGGGGGTAAAAGTGTCCGGACAGGAAGTGGTTAAACCCTTTTTTTTTTTTTTTTTTTACAGCTGTAACTATGCTGACCCTTTTTATGTGTTTATTGTTGGTTATATATATAGATTATTTCTATTCTCAGACAATACAGAAAGGTGATGTGTTCAGAATAAACCTTGATGTAAGAACACGACGTTTGTTTTTACTCGCACCTGTAAAAATCAGAATCACCATGACCAGCTCTACCATCTTTGCAAGACGCTAAGTGCTCTCAGGTGCCTGGAAGTGCCATGTCTCAGGCTGTCATGGAATAATTGGGGTAATGAGGACCACCCGGCATACGTCAATGTTTAATTATGCAGATTCCTGTGAGTAGTCAGAATTTTACCCCGGCGTTTGATTAATGGCCGTATTCTTAGTGATTTTGTTATTTATGTAGTTAGCTGGACCATGGCGCTGGAGGAGATGGGCTGACGAATCCTTCGTCTCTACAGAACATCATTTGACTACTACGGGGTCCTTGGATGTCTTCAGGTACACAGCATAGAAAACATTCAGCATTATACAGATCTTTGTTTGTTGATGCAAGTCATTGCCTATTTGGTTCTCGAAGATATCCTAGAACATTCAAAGGAATTATGACAGTACAGCTTGCGTCAATGTGATACTTGTCTAACAAAAAAAAGGAAAATCTGTAATAGACTTGTCACTACAATGTATTCTACTAGAAACATTTCAGGAAAATATGTCTTTTCAGAAGCAAGATCATGGTGCTATAGAGCAGATGGAGGAAATAAGAATCTAACTAAATTCATGCTGACATTACCAAAACATCATCAAGACGAAAACAACCAATTGGCCGTCTTTTAAAATTTCCTAACTTAGAAAGCCCCACAAAGTTGGGAGGACTGCTGTGCCGGGACATTGAGGAGAATTATTCCAAATGGTTAGGACCACAAGGAGCCTTATATATGCAAGATGGCAATGTATATGTGAACAGAATTTTTCTTGTGACACTATTGTCCGGGGCATGCTCGGTCAATGATAGCACAAGGGGCGGGGTCACCCAGTGACATCGTTAATGATCCCACCCCTTAGTTTATTTAGCCGCGGAAGGAAGCGGAGCTGTCTGTTGGCGGGAGCCAAGTGTAGGGTGTGGACTGTTTTTTTTTTTTCATGTGGGTTGGCAGGCAACATTCATCATCATTGACTCTGGATTTACTTTGGGGTACATTCAATTTGTTTTTTCCTTTTTTAAGTAAAGGACTTGTCAAAAATTGACTCCAGGTTTTCATTTACTTTTTCCATTTTTTTTGGTGAATGAGTAGGGGTACAACGCACCCCATACTCATTTACATGGGGGTAGGGGGGCATGGATTTGGGCCCCCCTGTTAAAGGGGGCCTCCAGATTCTGATAAGTTACTCTCCGCACCCTCACTGTGCCAGGGTTGTGGGGAAGAGGCCCTTGTCCTCATCAACATGGGGACAAGGTGCTTTGAGGGCATGTGGACTGGTATGGTTCAGGAGAAGGGGGCGCTCACTAGTCCACCCCCCTTCTTTCCTGGCCTGCCGGGCTGCATGCTCCAGATGGATTTTGGGGGGACCTCATGCTAATTTTTTTTTTTTCTATTTTTAGCATGAGGATCCTGCTGACAGCACATAAGTTATGGTTGTTAAGGACATGGCAGGCTCCGGCACCTTAACAACCAACTATTCACTGGTTGTTAAGGATGCCAGCAGGCGTCGGCTCCTTAACAACTGGCTGTTCACTGGTTATTAAGGATGCCGGCAGGTGCCAGCTGAACATTCATACGATCCTTAAATTTTGCATGCCTGGGCCACTAATTTTAGTTTTTTAATATTCCGTATATTGAACTTTTATAAGGTAAATGACCACTACCTATTTAAAGTGTTACTAAACCCAGGACCCTGTATTCACTATATCTGGTCTCACACAGTACACAGAACATGGAAATGCAATTATTTTAGTAAATATAAACTGCTAAATACCTTTTTGTCATCAGCAGTCAGAGCAGTCCTGTGACTTCTATTAGTGTTCAGCAGAGCACTGGTTAAAGCTTGTAGGAGGAGTTTTCATTTGGCTGTAGGAGGATGCAGAACCCCTGACCTCTGACTGGACAGTGCTAATTGGCCCTGTGCTGATCACATGCACTCTCCCAAGAAAAAAATAAAACTATAGCAATACACACTAAACTGAGCATGTACAGAGTGTCTCCACACATGTCTTAGAAGATAGGAGGGGGACACTGGAAGAAGGGGAGGATCACAGAAGACAGGATCAAACATCCGTTTTGCACAATGCAGAGGATTAACCCCTTAGGTTCCAGAGTGAATATAGCAATCATGCTTTACTGCATATACAGACTGATTGCACTGTTGTGGGTTTAGTAACACTTTAATGTAAGCATTTATTTATTTCCTTTAGTGAATTGACTTTAACACTGCAGTATTTTCCCATTGTTTTTGCTTTTTGAGATATATAATAAAGGGATAGTGAATTGACATTTTTGTTATGGCATATGGTATTTAGTGAAAATGTGTCATGTGACCCAAGCACTGCATGTGAAATGCCTTAGTGAATGGAGTCACTGCTATCAGTGTTCTATGTTAATGTCGGGATTTTCTAACATTCCTGTTCTTGCTGAATAAATTCATTTGTTCCCTTTGCCAAGCGTACTGTGTTCTCCATAGGCCCGAATGCAAAAGCTATTACCTATTAGCCTTCAGGAAAGGCCCCCCCCAATGTAAAAGTCTTACAGGTGCCAATAGGCTTACACTGCACTGCACCACAATGCATGTGCCTTGCATGTTGGTGCTCCATATTAAAAAGAAGGCAGTGGCATTGTGTCACTGCTACGCATGTGCAGTATCATTGACATTTAGATGTAGATCAGTGCCATTCAGAGCAGCCATACCCATTGGGCAGCACATCCAGAGGGAGCCATGGAGCAGGCAAGTCTGCCAATGGGAAATAGTTTTCTGATTTCTTGCCCCATCAACTCACCCTCACCTCCCTATCCACCTGGCTTCTGCTATGGCTTACACAGGCACTATAGTCTCCAGCCTGGCCGGTCGCTGCACCACCTCATGCAACCTCTGAAGTTGGCAGGGAGGTTTCCAGCTGACAGCTCCTCATGGAGGCACCTCTCACCACAGACCCCCATCACCACTTTACCCGCTTTCCCCCAAACCTCCCATTACTATTTTACTTGCATTCCCCTTCTCACCACCATGCTTCAAACCACCCCACCTCTGCTCCTTCACACCAACCACCCTGAGCTCCCACCACCGCAGCTGACCCCTACACCACACCTGCCCATCAACCCACCACGCCTGCCCATATGCACCAGCACCTGTCTCAGCCCTCGCCATCACTAGACCAGTGACCACTTCTGTCCTGCCATTGCTGCGGTAACACGTCCTTTCTTATTCAGCACACTAATACTCCTAGGAAATGAACTGTAATTCCCCATTAATTCCCCTGTATTTGTTTGAAGTTGTGAGTATTGAATGTAAAAGAAAACATTTATAATATTGTAACCTACCAGTACTTACACGTGATGGCTGCATTAGGTTCCTTTTTAGGCTTTCTTTCTTCTATTTTCATCTTGTGATACAACCAGCTAGTTGTTTTTCAAAAGCACAAGCTCTCCAGCTGAATGTATCATTTTAGAAGGATGAGACAAACCACTTAAAGTGTCACTAAACCCCGGTACCCTGCATTCACTATATCTGGTCTCCCCCGGACCCTGCATTCACTATATCTGGTCTCCCCCGGACCCTGCATTCACTATATCTGGTCTCCCCCGGACCCTGCATTCCCTATATCTGGTCTCCCCGGACCCTGCATTCACTATATCTGGTCTCCCCCGGACCCTGCATTCACTATATCTGGTCTCCCCCGGACCCTGTATTCACTATATCTGGTCTCCCCCGGACCTTGCATTCACTATATCTGGCTCTCCCCGGACCCTGCATTCACTATATCTGGTCTCCCCGGACCCTGCATTCACTATATCTGGTCTCCCCCGGACCCTGTATTCACTATATCTGGTCTCACCCGAACCCTGCATTCACTATATCTGGTGTCCTCGAACCCTGCATTCACTATATCTGGTCTCCCCGAACCCTGCATTCACTATATCTGGTCTCCCCGGACCCTGCATTCACTATATCTGGTCTCCCCAGACCCTGCATTCACTATATCTGGTCTCCCTGACCCTGCATTCACTATATCTGGGACCCTGCATTCACTATATCTGGTCTCCCCGGACCCTGCATTCACTATATCTGGTCTCCCCGGACCCTGCAATCACTATATCTGGTCTCCCACAGTACACAGAACACGGAAATGCAATTATTTTAGTAAATATAAACTGCTAAATACCTATATAGCAGTCTTGTGACTTCTATTAGTGTCCAGCCGAGCACATGTTAAAGCTTGTAGGATGAGTTTTAATTTTGATCTTGGAGGGAGCAGAATCCCTCACCTCTGTTTGGACAGTGCTGAATGGCCCTGTACTGATCACATGCACTCTCCCAAGAAAAAAAAAAACCTCTCTACACACCAAACTGAGCATGTGCAGAGTGACTCAACACAATATGTCTTATCAGGAGGTAAGAGGAGGACACTGAAAGAAGGGGAGGATCAGAGAAGACAGGATCAAACAACGGTTTTACACAATGCAGAGGATTAACCCCTTAGGTTCTACAGTGAGTATAACAAGCATGCTTTACTGCATATACAGACCAGGGGTGGACTGAAAACTCATGGGGCCCCGGGCAATAGGGGATCATGGGGCCCCTATGTCCTTGCCCAAACTCAAAAAAGCCTATGAAAAAGGTACCAGGAGTATCTCATGGGGCCCCCTACTGACCCCGGGCCCTCGGGCAGTGCCCGAGTTTCCAAATGGTTAGTCCGCGCCTGATACAGACTGATTTTACTTTTGTTTAGTAACACTTTATATGCTTTCTCGCCTGCCAAGACCCCTGCCTGACCTGATTGCTCTCTTGTCTACAGCCCTGTGGACAGCTTCTGCACGGCAGACTTTTCATTCCAGAAGTCCTATGTGGCAACTTGCCATGGTCTGCTAGAAGTACCTCTTCAGAATATCCCACCAAATTCTCTGAACTGCCATTTTCATTTTCATTTTGAATGGAATTGAAGGAGAACATTGCTAATCTCTATGTGTAAAATTGCTACACAGTGCAGGCATTTTAAAAAACTGTAAACCCAATCTGACACTTGCACCCTTTCACAATGAGTATAACAGGCATGCTGTACTGCATATGCAGACTGATTGTACTGTTGTGGGTTTAGTAATACTTTAACACTGGCAGGGGTGATTAAAAAGATCACAATGATCATGTAAATCCTTTATCCAGAGAGGAAAAAAACTGTTTGCTGTAACTGATTGAAGCTGGAGTTTGGCTTCAATTTGTTAGTGTATCTAAACCTGCTAACACATTTAACATTCCTCTCCTGCCAGACTGATGCTGTACCTCCTGTGCTCATTTGTGCAGAGTTGTGTCTCAAGAAATGCAGATGTAAATGCAGGTAAAAAAGGAGGGAAAAAAGCTTAAATGCTTTGCTTGCAGCCACCACATCTAAGGATTGGTAAGCTTCAATATGTTAAAAAACCTCCTGTTAATGCTTATTTCAGATTTTTGGTGCTGAAAGCGGTACCATTTTTTTGCATGGAAATATGTATTTTTTCTGTAATTTTTAGGAAAAAACCTCATTGAAATCTGTCCGAACAAGAGTCTAGTAAACATCCTGGTATGACACAAAATCATAAATTATAATGCTGTATAAAAAATAATATAAAAATAATAAAAAATTTAATTCAATTAATATAATCCTGTGCTCATTTGTGCAGAGTTGTGTCCCCCATGAATCAAGAACCTATGCAGACATGTGTTACTGCAGGCAGCGCAGGATCACCATGTAAAAAAGGTTTGAGTTTTACTGGAAAAAATTTTAAATTTTGCCCTTAAAGCGGCCCGTAACGTCCCGACGTCACAGGACAGGACACAGAAGCCGGAGGCCGGCATCGGCCACCGGGGACGCTAGACACATCGGATTGGTAAGCTGCAATATGTTAAATTTTTGGTTTTGGGAGTTTAATAATACCGTGAGCACTTACAAATCACTTCTGCACAGGGGCGGACTGATCATTTGAAAACTCGGGCACTGCCCGAGGGTTTGGGGTCAGTAGGGGGCCCCATGAGATGCCCCTGGTACCTTTTTCATGGGTTTTTTTTGAGTTTGGGAAAGGACACAGGGGCCCCATGTGCTCCTATTGCCAGGGGGCCCCATGAGTTGTCAGTCCACCCCTGCTTCTGCATAGACTATCAGCAGGGGCGGACTGACCATTTGGAAACTCGGGCACTGCCCGAGGGCCCGGAGTCAGTAGGGAGCCCCATGAGATGCCCCTGGTACCTTTTTCATTTGCTTTTTTGAGTTTGGACAAGGACACAGGGACCCCATGATCCTCTATTGCCCGGGGGCCCCATGAGTTGTCAGTCTGCCCCTGACTATCTGTTAAACATTTTCAAGTGTTCTGGTTTCTAAAAACCAGATCTTGCCTTTAGGTGGCGCTACTTTACTGTCAATAAAAGTAGCTGGTCCAAACGTCTGCAGACTCAGAAAGCTGCACCTACAGCATGTGTCATGTAGAAAACAAATCTAGGAGAGAGGACTTTGTACGTGATCCGTTTGGAATTGCTCCTTCATAGTTTATGGTTGCTCTTTATCATTTGCTTTTCTCTCATTTGTCCAGTTTTGTTCTCCTGTGATCTGCCGGCTAAGTGACAAACAGTAAAAGTTGTGAACTCAGGGCCCTTTCACACTGATTAATGGTTGCTGAGTTTTTACCTTGATAAAAATGCAAGAAAAATGCAATAAAAATATTTTCCTTTAAATCCTATAGAACGCTTCACTCCAATGTGCTGCGGGTGCTGTGCATTATGAGTCCTGCATGCTGCATCTTTTCAGAACTGCCCCAAAAACATGGCTCTGCATTGAAATGGATGGAAAACACGTCAAAACTGCATCAGCAATGCACCACGGTTACATTTTTGATGCATTTGTTTAGTCACATGTTCATGTTTCACAGGTGCATGTCAAGTGGAAAATGCTCCGAAAAATGTATATGCATTTTTTATGGATGCACCGATATCGAGTGTTGGTGAAAATGCTCCTGATATCTGAAACCGATACTTTGTGGTACGATTTTTATCCATATAATAAAATGTATGGCCACAAATTGCACCGCAAAGAATAGCATGCAATTTGAACAGGAATGCGGTGCGATTCCTGTCCAGATCGCATGCAGTTTCCCCACTGCTCCTGTGTGAACCTAGGCTTGGTATAGAAGGAAAAGCTGGGGATTTGAAATCCACACGGCTTTCTCTTCTCTCAGTGCAGGGATGACAGTACGGGCTGATTGGTGGTGACCAATCAGAAGCCGTCTAGCCTGTACTGTCATCCCTGAAAGGAGAGGAGAGAAAGCCATTTCACAAGTCTGGGTGTTTGAAATCCCCATGGCTTTCTTTCCTCTCAAAGCAGGGATGACAATATGGCTTTGGATTGGTCAGCACTGTCACGGTGGTGACCAGTCAGAAGCCGTCTAGCCTGTACTGTCATCCCTGCAAGGAGAGGAGAGAAAGCCACAGGGATTTCAAATACCCAGACTTGTGAAGCTGCTTTCTCTCCTCTCCTTGCAGGGATAACAGTATGAGCTAGATGGAGTCTGATTGGTCAGCACTGTGACAGTGTTGACCAATCAAAAGCTGTCTAGCCCGCACTGTCTTCCCTGTGAGGAGAGGAGAGAAAGTCACAGAGATTTAAAATCCCCAGCTTTTCCTTCTGTGACAGCATGGGATCAGTAAAGGGAGGTTTCCTGCACCACTCCTATGTGAACTCAGGCTATGACAAGAACACAGGAACAGTGGGGGAAACCACATGCGATCTGGACAAGAACCACACTGTGCATTCCTGTTGAAATCGCATGCTATTCTTTGCGGTGCAATTTGCATCCATATATTTTGTACAGTATTGCAAAGTATCGGTACTCGGTATTGAAAGAAAGTATCAAAAAAAGCACACAGGTGCATCCATAGCGTTTTTGATACATTTTTTTTATCAATGGCGCATTGTGAAAGCATTCTTCTCAGAGCCAATCAGCTTGCTCATTAAAGTACAACTAAAGCTGGTGATACAATAGTAGAATTTCAAACACATATTTGAAGAATATTCATTAACATATTCATATGAAATTCCTGATACATTGGATGACCGATGAATGTCGTTCGAAATGCATTCAAAATTTTATTTGCTTTTATCATTCATTTTCTTGAAAATAAATGTCCTTTCTTGAATGAAAAGCACATCCACTCATTTGTTCGGGAAAAATTTTCCATCCTGCTCTTTGAATTTTCTGCTCGGTGCGGTAAAAAATTATTGTCATTTGGATCCCACTAAGGATTTGAAAATTCAAGTTTTCTTAAAATGAAAAATTTCAATCAAAATTCTACTAGTGTATGGCCAGAATCAAGGTAAAACTTTTTTAGTGGAGGGGGATTAGGTTCCCCTGTCAGTTTCCATTGCTGTCTGTGCCCCCATTAGGGAGATTCCCCCTTTCTGCTTGTCCTGATCAGAGTAATCACTGAGAGTGAAAGTGCTTTTTATTAGCACTGATCACTGTATTAGTGTCACTGGGTCTGTCATTGGCAGTTAGTCAGTTCCCCCCCAGTGTAATGGTTCTGCACAGAGCAGTCTGGATCCTCCTCTTCTCGGGCCCCCTGCAGGATCTCCTGGCCCCTGCCTTCTGTTGGGTGCCCCCGCAGCAAGCAGCTTGCTACGGGGGCACCCTCTGCTCCGTATGTAAATTCACATACAGAGCCGTGGCTTGGCCCCGCCCTCTTTCTCTTTCTCTTCTCATTGGCTCCCTGGCTGTGATTGACAGCAGTGGGAGCCAATGGCTCCCCCTTTTGTCTCAGGCAGTCCCGAGATAGCCGAGACTCCAGTGCACATCGCTGGATTGAGAGGGGGCTTAGTTCAGTATTAGGGGGGCTGGGGGGGGGATGCTGCACACAGAAGGTTTTTTACCTTCATGTGTAGAATACATGAAGGTAAAAAGCCTTGAGCCTTCAGAACCACTTTAAGGTTTGACGTTGACGTTAAGGTTTGATGTTGGGTATCTATTTACTCGGTGCAAACTATATTTTACCAAACAATTGGGTAATTTATTGCATTTGTGTCCCCTAAAATTAACTTTACTGTATTTTTTAAATTAATTTTTG